TTGTGTCTGACCTGATATAGGGGTGTTGCTTTTAAAATGACCAGCTACAGCTGTATTACTGAGTGTTAAGAAACATTTTTATTTGTGGTTCTAGTTTATTGAGTTGTGACTGAGTGGGTTCAGATACAGGGTTATAGGGGTTAACCTAGCTAGGCCTCGCATGCAGTAATGGTTATATTTTTGGTGGCTTTTTAATGGCATTATCTGATCAGCGCCTCACTGTGTATTATTACATTATTTACATGTCAGCACAACCTCAACAGTCAAATGCCAAATAAACAGTTCAAACCGATTTCCCAATCCACGTGGCCCTACACGGAAGCCCCAACAATATGACCTGAAGGGAGTGCCTCTGGTGACTGCACAAGGTGAATGCATATTTACCCTCCCCGGTCTACAGCAGAACTTTACCGGCCTCACCAAAAAAAAAAAGAAGACACATTTGATTTTAGTTCTACTATGTAAATGCCCCCCCAAGTAACACATTATTATCTGTATTTTTCTTCTCCCGACTCCTGCAAATCTCCCTGCCTCTCAGTGCGCAGCAGCGCTCAGAAAATCCGCTATGGCAACAGGGGGAAAAAAAGACAAGAAAAAAAAAAAGAAAGAAAAAAGGAAAAGATTTGACAACATGGCGCACTTTCCTTGAGAAAAAAAGTTTCTCCTGAACAGCCACACAGCTCCGTTTTTCAGCCTTTCCTCGCACTTTGTCAACTCTTTCGCTGCAACGTGGACTTTTTTGGCGACGCTTGGAAGAGTTCTCGTTGCGTAAACAGTCACAAAGTCAACAAAGAGTGTGATGGGATGAGAGCGATAACCCGTCGCAGGCAAACGGGATGGAGAAGCAAGCGACTCTGAAAGAAAAGGTAAATTATATATAAATAGAACTAAAACGACTCTTTCGTAGGCTGTCATGCCAGCTGTCATTTTCCAACTTGTTGGTATTTTATTGCCCCCGGATTACTTTTTTACTCCGCGTCCTGGACAGGAAATACCAAATGACCATTCTGTGAAAACCTCGTAAAAGACCTCTATCGATTTTCCAGTCATGCATACAGCACTGTTCTGCACACTGGATGTGTGGGCTGTCCCAGTGCACACAATAACCAGCGTAAATCTGATTTGAATATCGCTCGATTCCAACATTAACTTGGAGCACATTTATTTCGTTTTTGCACGAACAGAAGACTTTACAGTGGCAGATAGTTTCTGTGTATTAACGAGAGCAAATCCACACAGTTCCTCCAGGAGAACTGTGACCATCCTGCAATCTGGACTACATTACAGTAGGAGAGATAAGTTGCTTTCTCTATCTCTGTCTCCTTATGATTACGTTGTTAGGGTGTCCTCTGTATTGATGTAGGCTTTCATTATCTCTCACTCTCCACCCTTCCTGCCCAGTGCTGCCCACATGCAGTGGGCAGCCCCCCCTCTGTATGTTGTAGCAGATTAGACAGCAGAGAGCGGACTTTTCTGTCAAAACCTGCATTCTCTTGGGCCTTGGAAGCACTAATCCATAATAGATGCCTCTCCTGCCTCTCCTTTGGGAGCGAACCTTTGAATGTCAGGCTTGGCGATAGTGTTGGTTGTGTTGCAGATGTCACAAACTCAGCCTGTTTGTGTGTTTCTGAAAGGTGAGCTATGGTTTATATGGCACTTACACACACAAAAAAAGAAAGACAAAGAAGAAGAAAAAATCTTTATAAACCTCCAGAGGTTTACCGTACACGAATTTATCAAACCTCAGGTGCTGAATTTGCTCTTAGAGGTGCAATAGAAAAACGAGATGCCCACACACACACACACACACACACACATATAAAACCATGATCTTTTCTCTCTTGTCATGTGATACAAAAGGTTATTTAACGGTTGTCATAGAAGCACTCTTTTTTTTTCTGCTGCTTCTACTCCCTGGGCCTCTGGAAGTAATTACCAAGCCAGCCCTATCCCAGAATTCAGTCCGAGGAGGTGTGGTGAGAAAGAGGTATAATGGAAGCAAGCCCAAAAACCAGGCGGCCCGAGATGAATTTCATGATTCAGTAATACTCAGCCAGCCGTCCCTGTTAAACGGACACGACGCTCTCCTACTTACTGTAATCAATCAGATGCTTACCGGTTTGTTGCAGTTAGCAAGATCTGAGTCAGTACAGTTGGTCTTCCTGCTGTTTTAGTGCAAGAGTGGAAAATAAAGAGGGACAGGGAGAAAGCCTTGCACTAACACATATATTATATTTGCTGTGGTAGGAAATTTTGCAGTGCAGTGAAGACGTCTTTATTAGGCCGAACGTCACAGTGATGTTGTTCTTTAAACCGCTATGTGTAACGCTGTAATAAAAAAGTGTGAATGAAGAACAGCTGTGGACTCTGGGAAGTTGAAGATAAAAGGTTACTTGGTAAAGAGTGACATCATGACAAACTGTGCTTTCATTTAAAGTTAACATATGTGCAGAAATAATT